CGTGCGTGAGTGTCTGCAGAGCGAGGAGCCTCCTTCCGTCTCCTCCAAGCAGCTCCACAGCCCCTCGTGGCTTCTCTTTCCCCTCCTCAGTCTAAGGGGCTTGGTTTTCGTACGCTGGCCCACCCGGCAGGGGGCTTTCTTATTTTAAGCAAGGGCCTGGGCTGGCACCGGCGCACCCACCTCCCAGCCGTGCGGGCGAGCGGCTGTTTATTCATGTGTTGTCTTAGTAAAGTTTCAAACCTATTGGAAAATGACTGGCTTGCCTAGCTCGGCGAAGCTTCGGGTTCCTGTAAGGAAGAAAAAGGAGTTTTGACGCGCAACATGAGGAGGGATGTGGGCTGGGCTGCGTTTGTGTAAACGTGGTTTGTTGTTTCTCTCCAGTTTGGCGGGGGGTGGGAGGGGGGGACTCAAATCCTGTTTAAGAAGCAGGAAGATTCACTTTCAGTAAAGCTCTGTAGCGTGTACGTTACACCATTTCCCCTTTTTCATGAGTTCTTCAGAGCAGGTCAGCATCTCTCTGCCACTACTATTTTGTGTGTGTGTGTCGAGTTAAACTTAGAGCAACCAAAAGAATGTCCTTGCAGGGTGGGGGAGGCGGGGAGGAGCGGGGCTGCGAGAAGAATAGTTGGAAGAAGGGGAGGAGAGGGAAGAAGAACGTGCCACTGGGAGGCCTTTGAATAATAAAGTAAATAAAAGTCCCTTCAGGTAACAATAGGGAGTCAGATTCTTTGGGGACGGAGCCTTTCGAATTTAAATATTTTCCCCATCCATCCATAAAAGTCCACATATAGAGAAGGCATATCAATGGGCGAGTGTGTTGTGGAAATATATATGTATGATTTATATATAATGGTGTGTATAAAGCTTTTCAGGGGTTGGCTGCAGTGTAAAAAGTAATGACTTTATTACCTCTGAAAGGTTGTGTGGTTCACATTTAACAGTCTTCAGAATTATAATTCATTACACAGTTGTGTGCTCTCTACAACCGGGACCCTATCAGGGCCGCTATCTGTGGTTATTTCCAATAAATAACTGCAACATTTTATTGATTTTCTTTTTAAAAAGAAAACATAGGAAATTAAGCACTTAGTTACATACAAGTAGGTCTGCTAGTCTGCTATGTTATTGCACTTGTTTCAGATTCTAGGGGGGTTCCTTCCTAAACCACATCTTAAAACATACATTAAAAACCCAGTTTTGCAGCTGCTTTCCCTGGGTGCCAATGGAGAGGTAAGCAGTGACATTTCCACCATTAACGTATATTTAATTTTACCATCATAAAATACCCAGAGTGAAATAGGAACTGCCCTCCACTCGCGCCCCTCCCCCAGCCTGATTTCACCCAGTCCAGAAAACCAGAACTGTGTGTAGGCATTTGGTCCCTTCTGGTCTCGGACCCCAAGTCACAGTGCCTCGGGCTCGCCCCAAGAGTGATGCCCCCTCCCTTATTGTGGCTGGTTGGCTGGATGCTCGCTAAAGCGCCCAGAAGGAGGGGAGGGATAGGGGGAGGGTTTGTCTGATTGCTTAAAGACATAAAGATGTGTTGTTTTAAGAGGTTTTAAAATATTACATAAGTATTGATTAATGATGCAGGTGGTTTTGTAGAGAGGTGAAAGGTCACTTTAAACGAGCACACTTGGATACACAAGAAGCATATTTACCTTTCCAAAAGTGGCTTTTAGAAAGTAATAAATTATGACTACGTTAAAATTATTTTCTGGCCGTTCAGTTAACTTCATTTGGAGCTGCAGAACCTTTGATGATTCCACTAAGGGGGTAATACCCTCCGTGGGCTCTTTCCCAAACCTTTGGTGACGACATGGCGTGTAAACTCCAGGCCAGCAGACGACCCCTCCCCACCCCTCCGCCCCCTTTTTATCTTGCCTGCGGAGGAGACTCCCCAGGACTTCCTGCTGTATATATTCTGCCTCTGATCTCCCTACTTAATAGCCAAGTCCTGGTTTATGCTTTATAATGTGTTGACAAGTTTTCTAACAGACTTTCTGAAATAATGCACATATATTCACGTCGGTTAGAAACCCACCGTATTTTTAGAGTCGAGTAGATCTATACCCTAATGCAGTGAGAGAGTGTAAATCATAGAGGATTTCATAGTCCTTTCAGTAGTTTTCGGTATGAAGTATGAGCCGCGTGGCCTCCAGACGTAACCTTTTAGAAAAAAAAGACAGTGCTTTTATTTTATGGTGTAAAGTGCTTTTAGCTCCAGGGCTCTGAACGTGAACGTGGTCAACAAACAGCTTCAAGAGGGAGACTTAATACAGTCCCAGCCCTCGTGCCATGGATTGCCTGGCGCGGGAGACTCCCGCTCAGGCTGAGCCGGAGAAGGAAGGGTTAAAAGGTCTGTCTCGATGGAAACTACAAGATTAAAATAAAATATTCACTGCCTGCCTTTAGGGGAAAATACCTTTATAGACTTAAAGATAAATAAATGAATGACTGAATGAATGGTTAAAAATACTATCGATCCCACCTTGCTTTTCACTATTTTTCCCCCTAAAGGCAGGTCAGAAAATAGAGAATGGGCAGTCATCGTCATAAAAATGAAACTTAGGTACGGATTCTACACTTAGCATAGGTTTGCATTTGGGGGTTCTTGCGGGTGGGAGTGCTAGGATGTTGTTAGGACAAAGGAAAATTAATTGAAATGAGAAAGGGGGGTTGTGTGGGGGGAAGGAGGTGGGCTTTATGTGGGCACCCTAAATTGAAAGGTGAGCAGAAGGGCCACATTTCTTCCTCCTCTACTTCCAGTGCGATCCAGAGTCTGGGACCTAAGGACGCCCCTGGGGGGCAGTGTCTGCAACCTCTACAAAGGCACAGACTTCTCCCAGGGAGGTTCCTGGGGCAACACTTAGTCTGGTATTTCTCCAGAGGCTCCCTGGGCCTTTGACTGGCTGGCAGGCAGGCCACCTCACATACCTGGATGAACCTATCCAAAAACTAAGAGAAGGGAGGGAGGGAAGGAGGGAGGGAGGAATCAAAAGGCTGAATCTGCTCTAAATAAGCCTATA